ATCATAGCTAGAAAATGAGGGAGTACCTGACATAATCCAACCATCGTGTTCCTTCCAGGGCTGAGAGCCATTTCTCCTCGGCTGCAGATGAATCTGAGAGAGAGTAGAGGGGTCAGAAGGACAAAGAGATCAGGAGAACTCAGGATTCGTGATTCAGGGTCTGCAGCCTGAGGGTTAAGAATAAGTTGGGTAGTGGTTACCCAGGACTGGGGATAGAAATGAACAGTAACCGTAAATGGTCATGAGGTTACTACAATTATAATTGCAGTGACAGTTGTCAACCTTGTAAATGTAATAAAATTCACTGAACACTTAAGATGGGTGAAGGGTGGATTTTATGGTATGTAAATTATATCTCAATAAAGTGTTTAAAAAAAAAAAGAATACACTGGGGACAGGAAGACAGGAAATCAGTGAGTCTGTGGGAGATGGGAGTTGAACAGAAAACTGTGGATCTTTGGCCTGAAGGGTTAGTCATACTGTAACAGGCAAAAGGGTAAACCAGGTTAGGGTCAGCAGACCTAGGGGTGGGGGTAGGGGTCAGAGGTTATCTCACCAGGCAGGCAGAGGGCCCTCAGCTTCAAGTGGGCAAGTTGGACATCTGTAAGACTAGGCAGCTCATCCACAGTTTCCACCAGGACAACATCTGAATGCCCAGCCTGGAGCATCGACTCCACTGCTCTGGAGGGGAAGAAGTCACAAGGTAAGGGAACAAGTCTGTCCCGAACCTCCAACCCTTGAGTCTACTCATCAAACCTCCCCTCACCTGATATCCTCCTTGTTAGGGTCGCTGGCTGTATAGAAGCCACCACAGCGGAGAAGATCACTGCCCCCAGGGTGATGCCAGGACAGGCGCTTCGGATGGTGGGAGGTTAGGATCACCGTGGGGGAAACTGCTAGCCCCACCCTATCCTAGCCCCACCCTATCCTGCCCCCACCCTGATCTCCCTCCGCAATGACCCCCCCTGACCTCCCATAACCATCTAATCCCCAATCATCACCCCTGGCCCCCACACTGACCGGTCCACGGCCCTGATGGAAGTGGCCAAATGCTCTCCTGACCTCACTGTCCAAAGCTCGCTTAGGGACCCAGAAGTAACGGGGGAGGCTGTGAAATTGAGAGTTAACAGTCACAGCTTGGCTCAGTGAACTCATTACAATGCAGACCTGTCATTACAAGGAAGTCGCTTGGGAGGGGATTATTTCAAGGGACCTCAGGTTTAGAGATCTAGGCAGTAAGGGGGATAGCTTTGTGGATACCGTAAGAGACTAGAGTTTGTGGGCAGTCCTCGCTTTAGAGGATCTGAGAACTGTGGGAAGATTGGGAGGGCAGCGGGGGTTGGGGTGGACTGAGGGATCACCTGGTGGCTACGTCGAACCTCTCATTGACAGGGCTGACCCTCCAGCCCCCGGCCCCCTGCTTTTTCCGCTCAGTCTCCCAGTCTTCTGATGTCTCCAAGAGGGGAACAGGTGGTTTTCTGGACCCTGAACTCTGGCCTAGGGCAGGAATGAAGCACAGAAAAGAAGGAAGAGGAACCAGAGAGAGCGTCTCAGCTCTACTGTCTTCAGCCAGCCTCTGCTCTTCCAGATTCTTTACCCTTTCCCTACCCTAAAGCACCCTCACTCACCAGCCTTGCTCAGGGATATCCCTGCATACTGTTGGGCTTGACTGCTCTGAGCTCTGGCTCGGACAATGGCCATGGTCACCTGTGGAGGAGAGGGCATCCCAGCCTTTTGGCTTAGACTGAAAAAGTGAAGAGGAGGACATGGGACCCATGTGTTGCTCAACTGTCTTTGCCACCAACAGAGAACAGAGAAGACAGTCCCTAAGGAAGGGAGCTTCCACAGGTGGTGGGAACTGGGGTCAGGAGAACATATCCGGAACCACAGAATCACAGAATCACAGAATCACAGAATGTCAATTCTGCGAGGAATCTCTGGAACAATCTCATCCAGCCCTCCCTGTTTCTCAAAGGAAGAAACTTGCCTGCTGTCACACTCCTGATAATCGGCAGTGCCAGGCTAGAATTCAGGCCCCTTACTCTCATTATACTATCCTTTATCCCAGCCTTTTAGCCTCTCCTTGAGGAGAGAAGCAGACAGAAGGATGAGAGGGCTCCTAGGAGATCGGGGAGTAGTAGGAATACCAAGGAAAGGATCCTAAGGCTCTAAGGGGAGGAGTCATCTTTGGGTTGAAGGCCTCTTACCTGAAAGGCCTGAGGCTCTAGTCCTCCAGCCTCAAAAGCAACTCTGAGCAGCCGGAAGTCTCGGCCATGAATGAGAATCTCCTCAGGGGTAAATTTAAGTGGGGACCCTGGACGGAGGAGCTGGACTCTGGACAGGCCACTCACTGAAGGCAAGAGTTAGAAAGCAGTGCAGCCATGGATCAAGGTCCCTCTACAAGGAAGTCTTCCAGCCCATCCCACTCCATCCCTGCTGCCCTCTGAGAATAGAGGAAGGATGAGGAAGGGTGAGCCCCCGGTAAGCCCCTTCACCAACACCTCACACACACACACACACACACACACACACCCCCACTCACCAGCCTCTAATCGCCCAATGTTGACCAGGACAAAATCATATTCACTGCTCAGGGGAGTCTCCTAGAGGAAGCACATGACTGATGCTAAAGACATCTGAAATCTTGCTCATTGTCCTACCTTGGCAATCCCTAACCTCCCTGGAGATAATCCTGACAACCCCTTAAGCATAACTCTCCCTGTCTCACTTGTCTAAATCCTTCTAGTCTCCCCAATCCATTTCTCACTAACTGTCCTTTCCATTGCCCTCACCATCTCACCTGACTCCGTTGCCATCCACAGGGCTGGAAGGTGACCCTCAAGTTGGTGCAGATCAGAGTTCCAGGCAATTCAGGTTCCAGCCCCTTCCTCACCCCTGGGGCCCATGCTAGGATCTGCTCCCCTACAGGGGAAGGTGGAAAGCCAGGTTATGACTATTCCCAGTGTCACCCACACTGGTATACACCTACTCCTCTGAGGGTGTAGGTGTAGGTGACAGGAAGATGTAAAGAGGGAAGATTAAGATCCTCCCCCAGCTCCACTAGAACAAAAGCTTAGCAGGAGATCATTTGTATTCTTTTACTCTAGAGCTTAGAACAGTGCCTGGCACAGAGTAGGCACTCAAACACCTCTTGAATAAGTAAATGAGAAAAGGAAATAAGAGAGTCAGGAAAACAGGGACCATCAAGGTCCAGGCTCCTAGCCAGCTCTGACAGAGAAGAGAGCAAGCCTGAGACAGAAGCACTTTAAGCAAGTAGAGGAATACAGAGGTATCTTTGGTGAGGTTTGAAGCAAAGTTTGAGCAGGATGAAATTTGGAAGTCTTTGGAGATTGGAAGTATTGGAAGGGAAGTTATTACCTGGGAGGCATCCCGAGGCCAGGTGACTGCCAAGCTGACAACTCCTGGACTCCAGCATCCCAGTCCTCTGGACAGACTTTGGTCCAGAGAGCTGTGAAGGGTGTAGGGTTAATCCCCAGGCCTCTCCAACCCCCGGGTCTGGGATTACCTCAGCAGCCACCATTGGAGGCCTACACTCAGACTCTCAGGGGAAACTGAGATCAGCAGCTGGGGGAGCTTAGGACCCAGTTGGCAGACAGTAAAGGGAGGGGCTGGTTAATGGATAATGAGACTATGAACTTGAGACTGTGAAAAAGACAGACCAAGCTCCATCAAGCCGAGTTGATATGGGACACACCCTCCTCTTCGAGCTCCTTTCCTAGCCCCTCTTTTATCTCCATATCCTCCTTATTCACACCCTCGGGCCCACGGTGCCCTTCCCTCCCAAGCCCAAGTCTCCTCTCCTTACCCCCATGTCTGGCTCCGCCTTCTGGGGGGCGATGTTGAAACTCTGGCCCCGACCCCCCCACCACATTTCTCTGGCTCCATCCGGGGACGGAGCAGTGAAGGGTGGGAAACTCTGAGGATACTCAAGCCCCTTAGGGAGAGGCTGAATCTTGTAGTTGACAAGAGGGAGGTCAGGGAGAGGGGCAGGGGACAGCACCAGGGAAAGGAGCGTTTGAGGTGCACGGAGCACGATTAGGGGTCTTTTGAAAGGTGTGTCCAACCCAGCTAGAGGAGGCTCCTCGGAAACTTCAGTCGACTCTAGAGAGGGCGGGAGAGATGCCCAGCCCCTTAAAGGGGAATACACACAGTTTTGAAAAAGTGGAGGAGCCTGGAAAAGGTGAGGAAAAAATGGGTAACGGGAAAAAAGTACCCATATTCTTTCCACAATCCCAGATCCTATGCTCTTTCTGTTCACAAGTACTGGAAATTATTTGAGGGAACAGTAATACCGAGTATTAACCCGGAGTAATTTGGGCTCCGTTTTTTTGTCTTCTTAAAGAGGGTGGTGTGGTGGGAGGAATGCAAAAGCAGTTCAGGTTTCCTTGCGGCCTCCCCTGACACACCTGACAAAAGTAGTAGGAAATTGGGCCTCAGGGGAATTTTGCCTGGGGAGGCCCAAGAAATGAGGGAGGGGAGTTAAAAGCATTTTGTACATCGTTCTCCAGAGAGCATGAAACATACCTCATGTGGAGGGTGCCCTGAGAACACTGGGGAGAGAAATTGAAATATCTCTGGGATGCAGACAAGTCAGGTGTTTATGTGCAAGTTCTGGGGGTGGAGGGAGGCCCAAGGAAGAGATCTTACTACTTAATCTGACACACACACACACACACACACACACACACACACAAACAGTGGGAAACCAGAGCTCATTCCAGGTACATGACCCCTCCCTCCAACCCAGACACCAGATCTCCAAATTAATGATTCATGTTCAGGACCTTCAAAGCTGAGGGCTGGAAACCTCTATCAGTTCAACAGCCCCATCCCCCACCATCCCCCCTGCAACCTGAGGAGCAGAGCAGAGGTGGGTGGGGAGGACCCTAGGAGGGAAATAAAGGAACTGCAGTTGATGGCACCTGGATAGGAAGCAAGTCTGCATTTAGATGCGAAAAAGATGAAATACAAAATAAGGGTTAATGAGCTGCTGTTTTATTGATTTTGAGTCTGTACAGAGGCAGCAGACCTTAAGTGGGGGCCCCAGTTTTCCAAAGTGACACTCAACTCTCTCCTCCCCTCAGCACACACACCCTTCCGGCCTCGGCTGTAAAAGTTCCCTGTCTTGGCTGATATTGTGGAAATAATGAAGATATTGTGAGACAGGAAGTTAATTTGGAACAAAGAGGCATACACCTGCTAGGAAGGTGGCCCAGAAGCCTTATTCTAGAAGTCCTAAAAGTTCCCAAGCACCCCCAACCCCACCTACTTTCCATGGGCCTCAATCTCTTGGGGGAAGAAATACTTCCCAAGGTCTCTTGCAGTAGGAAGAGCTGTGTTCCACAATTTTAAAATCCCATTCTCCATTTTCCCTCTCCCCACTACCCTTCATTCAAGAGCCTCATTCTATTCTTAATATTTTGAGGTATAGCAGCAGCAGAGGAATCCAAACTAGAGGAAAAAAACATCAGGGGAATGGGGGGAGGTGAAAGGCAGAAAAAAGTGGGTGACTTGGCTGAGCACGAGAATGTAAAGGGGCAACAGCCAAGGGCTAAGTAAAGGGGTACCTCTCAGTACCCCCCACACCAGTGGAGGTTTTAGTGGATGAAAGGAAGGATGCAAAAGCAAGGGGCTGTATCAGATTTTTCCATTTTCAGAATCCTGGTCTGGTTGCAGGTTTGTGCCAAGAGTGAAGGCTGCTGGGAGGGGCAGCTGGAGGAGGGGGGTGGAGCTGAGTGACTCACAAGATGAGTCACAGATCCAGTTATAAGCACAGAAAGAGGCCAACGTCCTCCCCACACCCCACTGCTCTCCGTTACCGTCAGCCAGCTTCCGTTCCTCTTTCCTAACCCCCCTAACCCACGTGGCCAGTGAAGGGCGGTGGCATGGATAAAGTCTACATGAGGACGTCATAATAAATATTTTGTTAAGCTACTTAAAGTACAGGGGCAAAACACCCTGCTATCTGCAGGCTGAGTATCGACAAAGTGAAAGAGACAGGAGTGCCTGTCTGACTCACTGAATCTGCAGTTGAAGGGCCTGGAGGGAAAAAGAAATTAGAAAAATCTGAGATGCAGGTGATTCCAGGCAGGGAAGGGGCTTCCAAGTCTGTCTTCTCATCTGTGCCTGGGGCACTGACTGCTTGGAGAAAGAAGACGACTGGTGTCTGAGGGGACAGTCATCACTGAAGCGCCTTAATGGGAAAGACAAATGTGACTGGAACGTTGGATGTGTGTGGCTGTTTAGAAAGGAGACCATTCGGAACCAGTTCCATTTTTTCTGCCTCTGTATCACTTCCCAAATACACGATATGAAGTCATTGCTAACTTTTGTTTTATTGGTCTGTAAGCTTTAGTTGCGCTTGAGAAGAAACCGAGCCAAGAAGAGAGGGAGAGTACTTCCCTCCAGGCCCTGTGTAGCACCAAGTTTCACATCATCCCCACTCCATAAAGAGACTGAATCTTTAAAAAAAAAAAAAAAAAGTTTTGATATAATCTTTTTATTTTGTTGACAGGATCCAGTATGAGGGAAAAACTTTTGATTAAATCTTGTAACTCCCAATAAAACGACACAGATTAAGGTAGGAATTTGGAGACCTATCCTATAGTATACTTGCTCCGTCAAGGCTGGGGTGGAGAATGTAGGGTGGAGGGGTAGCACTGTCTTAAGAGGGGAAAAATAAGAACCCCAAATATTTCCCCTCTCCAATAAAAACCTCAGTAGGTACCCCAATGCCCTGGATTAAAGGAACTAAGTGCACTTATTTAAGCCTGAGAGATCCCATCCCTCAGCCAGGGTGACAGGATCTGCCTCCCCCTTCAGCCACATACCCCTCCTTAACCAAGGAATTTTTGCTCATTTTGGGTGCACGTCATGTCCCCCTCTCCTCCCCTCTCCCAGCACAGTAACTGCATGGGCTTGCCTCTTCCACCCCCTCATCTTCCCAAAATACCACAAACCAACCACAGTCTGTTTTCATTTCCCAGGCATTATTCCTTCACCCTCCATCCCACAAAACCCCCTCAAAGAATAAAGCAAAACAGTCTTTACTCATCCCTACTGAAAAACATCCATTGACTCAGGGCCCGTCATCCTTAGAATGGAGAATTTTTTTTTAATGCCTCAATATATAGTTACCTTCCCAAATTAAACAAAAATAATTTATTGCTAAATAAAAAGCTACAGGGCCTAAATAAAGCCCTATTTTATCATACTCACTCCTAAGCAACCCCCCAGAATTTCTACCTTTTTTATTTGAAAAGAGGTCAAATAAATTGGGATTGGTTAGTTTATAAATCAAAACAAAAACAAACATGACACAAGGTTTCTGTTTTTGTTCATTTGTCCTCAGTTTTTAAAAACAAAAGTATTAGCTAGAATCTAATAACAAATCAAATCCAAACACAGCAGTCCAACGGAGAATTAAAACTTTCCTGGCTTTACTCTCTGGGAAAACCCCTGGTCTGTTCCCATTCCTATCGGTCCAGGCCAGAATCCTATGCGCCTCCGGGAAAGCTAGGTGAGCTGTGCCGGGTGTGAGCTGGAGCCACCTGTTGCTTGGGCACACTTAGGGGATGGAAGCTCACGAGGTGATGGTCTCACCAGTGCTGTTCTAGCCCCAGAGACAGGGTGAGGTGAGCAAGGCACTCACTTCGGGCACAAAATTTAAGGGGTGCCCCAAAACTCAATAACCAACATACTATCTTAATGCAGTATTTTTTGAACATCAAAACCAATGTAAAATATCCACAATGAACTAAGTATCAAAATTGTAAGGACAGGATTCAACCCCATACTTGCTCAATTCAGCTTATTTCCCTCACCTTAATCTCAGTCCTATTGGATCCTTCTTTAAGATTTTGATATTTTATTCATCATGGAGTTTTCCCATATTGTATTTTAAATACTGCATTAACATGGTATTTATCTTAATCACTGAGTTTTTCAGTACCCCTTAAAGTTCTGTACCGAGGGGAGTACTCATCTTGTACTAGTCCCAGCCCTGGCCAAAAATATGTACATCCCCTCCTTTGGAATCTATCTCCTTTGACCCCAGTGCTTCCTGAAAACCATTCTATTTTCAAATAAAAGCCTAAGAATTAATAGCCATATGAAATGATTAAATCGACTATCAGATTTGAAAAATGAGTGACTTTCAAGTCTGCTGAAGAAAGAGGAATCTTTCTAAACTCTTGAGCAGTTCCAATGAAGAGGACAGTCTTGGGGGACATGGGATGACAACTTTCCTGATTGGGCAGAAGCAACATATGGCAATTACAGGTCCCCAACACACACACACACCCACACCCAGCCCACATCCGGTTTAGAGCAAATGTGGGGATGCCATTCCATGAGATGGGTTAGGAGTACATACCTTAAAAGAGAAATCCACATACAGAAAAACAGCCCCGATTAACACTCTGGACACTTAAGTACACTTATTCCCCTTCTTCATATGCACCCAGGAGTTTATACAATTGCATAGTTGATTTTTTTTTCCCCCAGAAAAAAAAAAAAAGGAAGAAAGAAAAAGGAAAATTGGCCCAGGATAGGTCCTCCAGTTTAAAGCTCTTAGAAATGGTGCTGGCCAGAGTAAAGGCTGTCCAGACTTGTGCTTTGTGCAAAATGCAAAGGAGCTCCCCCTTCTGTGTCCATAGGCCCACTCCCACCCTCTGGGGAAAAGGGCTGAGTCAGGGAAAGGGGGAAACCCAAAGACAGATCAGCTCATTGGGAGTAATCTGTGATCTGTGGTTACAGTTCACTAAAATATATTTCTCTAACTACCTTTTTATAAATTGCCCCTAACCCCTACCCCCGTGTTTCAACATCAATCCTATTATCAAAAATATGTCTTCTTACAAAGTATTTTTTTTTCTTATTTTAATAAACTAACCACAGATTAAGGTCAGCTATGGCTTAACAAAAGAAGCCGGGATGTTAAGTTCATTCTCCAAAAGTAGAGAGGAAGGAGAAAGAATCACTTACATAGGAAGAAAAAAAAAAATCATTTTTAAAATGTTTTTGCTCACTGGGGTCGTTTTGTTTCTTTTCCTTAAAAAAAAAAAATAGTCAAAATAAGTTGCTTTCTACAGAAACACAGCAGCAGAGGATGGTTTTTGGTTTTGTTTGAAACAGTCTGGCCAAAGGTATGTCCTGCTCCTGCCCCCCCAGGGTGCACTCACACCCCAATGTGTGGTTATTGCTAAGTAGTTACAAAAGATCACCTGGAGAAGATTCAGCCCACACAGCTGCTCTTCTCCTCACTCTTCCCTTCCCCTGAGGGAACTTTTTCTTTTTTTTTTTAAATAAAATTAAAGTAGTTAAAAAAAATCACAATCTTAACTTAGCTGAGTTCAGCCCTCAAAAAGGATGAGGAAAAGATACCGGGCAATCAGCAATCTCCTCTCAAACCAGAACAGATGACAGATGGCTGTTTAGAAGAAATAAAACTTGAGAGGAAAAGGATTCCCCTTTTAAGTTCTTCCCTTTCCCATCTCAGTAAACGGATTTAAACTAACCCCCTCCTAATAAGCACCCGTGAGGACACATTACTGCCTTGTCTTTCCAGATCCTTCAGGAGGAATTTGGCCAACCCTAATTTCTACCTTAATTCAAATCAACAGCAAATCTGCCTAATTCCCCAGTTTCCCTCCACACTCCCAACTCCACCATCATGTGCTTTTTTCCAACCTACAAGAACTTTGGTCTGGTTTTTCTTTTATTGACTGAGAACCTCCTTTGCCTGCTCCTGCCCCAGACTTCTGCCCACCTCCCCACCCCCACACACTAAACCTTCCCCTCATTTCCCCTAGGTCCTGGGGTGTACCCAAGCAGTTATGAGACAGAATCACCATCTTTCCCCCTTGTACCTCCTCAGTCCCAGCAAGATTGACAAAGGGCTCGCGCGCGCGGCCCTCCAGGCACCGCCCAGCCCTGACCTGCTCTTGCCAGCCTGGCAGCTCTCCAGCGCGCGCACACACACTTCAGAAGTTCCTGGCCAGGCTCCCACTGACATTACTGCATTTGCCCCATCCGCATGGGGGCTGGGTCTTGATGAGCCAATGAGTAGAGCTTAACTCTCTTTGTTTAGCCCCCCTGCCCTCCAAGGCTCCCCGCCCCGCTCAGAACCTGTGCACCAGCAGCTCCCCACCCGGTTCGCGCTCCCTCCTCCTCAGTTCTTCCCTGTAACAGCAGGAGCAGAAGTTGTTTGTCTCAGGGTGTCCATAGAAGCTGCAGTTCGGCTGTTTGCATTTGGTCTGGGTTGGAGGAAGCCCCCGGGGCCCTCCAGCCCATCCATCTGGCTCAGGGGGCTCTCTGTAGCCGTTGCTGTAGGAATCAGCCACGCGGAACGGGGGTGGTAACAATGCACCCCTGTGAAGGCCATCCTTGGGGTGACTGCCTGGCTCCAGAGACGGGATGCAGTCCCGATGGGGGTAGGGCCGCCCTGGAGGGCACTGTCTGGGGAAGGTGGCATAGGGTGGTAGGCCCCCCCCCCAAGGCCCCCCTGCCAGCTGCCTCCGGGGTTCCTGGCAGTGGGCTCCAGCCCCAGCAGGCCGCGGGACAGTAAAGCCCCCAGGGTAGCCAGCAGGGAATGCCACTGCCTTGGACTCTGCTGCGGGGGCAGTCAGCAACTCCTCCCCGCCATCTGGCTCTGGCTTTTTGGCTGGAGGAGGCCCACTCCCCACCCCTCCATTCAGGATCTTCCTCTCTGCCTCCTTCTGCTTCTGCTCGGCCAGGAATCTCTCCTCAGCATCAGAAAGGTACCGCTGGATCATCTCCTCCTGATACTGATGACGGTGACCCATCTTCAGGGTTCCAACAAAAATAAACTTCCCCTCCCCTTGCATTGCAATCCTCATAATGCTCAAGCTCTGCATCACTTCCTGGCTATACTTGCTCCCTCCATTACCAACAGACTCAGATGTGGGCTTCTCAGACATGGGCCCATCCCCCGCTGCCTCCTCCTTGCCACCCTTCCAGCTCTTCAGTGAGTTCTTCTTCTTCTTCTCCAGGGTCTCGGTGCCGCTGCTTACCCCCGACCCCGTTCCCACCCCTCCAGGCTTCGAGCCCTTGCTGGGCATCAGGCCTCCCATGTTCTTCTTGAGCTTGCTGCCCAAAGTTTTGCCAAAGCTGCCCAGTTTGTTGGCCACAGAATCTGCTCTCTTCTTGTCTTTCTCCCGACCTCGCTTTGACTTCTCTTTCCGCTTGCTGCCCTCATTGCTTGTAGAACTGCTGCCAACCGACTCCTTGTCTGATTCCCCAGACTCAGGAGTGGACCGGGGCTCATCTCCAGCTGAGGCTGTGGGGGACTCAGGTTGTGCCAGGGGAGCCTGGAGGATATAAGAACAGGATTACTCGTTGTCCCACTGGGCTGAGGCGAGGGAAGTCCCCTCTGGCCCCTCCACCTGGCTCACAGGGTTCGCTGCAGCATTGCTACAGGAATTAGCCCCGTGGAAAAGGGCTGATAACACACCTGTGCACTCCATCCCTGGAGTGCCTGCCTAGTTCCAGCAAAGGGCCGTTGTCACAGTGGGGAAGGGTCACCCGGGAGGGCACTGTCCTTCCCCAGCTCCAGTCAGCTCTCCCATGGACCAGGGAAAGATGTATCTAAATATCTAACTTTTATCTCACCCCCTGCAATTTGACTCCCTTCTGTAATAAGGAGGTAACAAAATGAAGCCTGACGTTCTTCTAGAGCAATGAGCAACTATACAATACATGGCGTCTGGGTAAGGAGGAAGAATATTCCATAGATACTAAAATATCCTTTATTATAAATTTCTCTCTCTTCTTTTAAGATTTTATTTATTTGACAGAAAGAGAGAGAGAGAGCACAAGCAGGGGGAGCGGCAGGCAGAGGGAGAGGGAGAAGCAGACTCCCCACTGAGCAGGGAGCCTGATGTGCTCGATGCCAGGATCATGACCTGAGCCTAAGGCAGACAGTTAACCAACTGAGCCACCCAGGCGCCTCTATTACAAATTTCTCTATGCCTAGGGTGCCTGGGTGGCTCAGATGGTTGGGTCCTGGGATTGAGCCCCATGTCACACTCCAAGCTCAGTGGGGAGTCTGCATCTCCTTCTCCCTCTGCCTCTCCCCCTGCTTGTGCTCCCTCTGTCTCTCTCTCTCTCAAATGAATAACCTCTTTAAAAAACAAACAGATTTGTCTATGCCAGATTTTGCCCAAAATTAATCTCAGGGAAGTCTTAACTAACCACAACCAACTCTAACCATTCTGCATCCCCTCAACTTTTAGACATTCAGCACTAGAGTCTGTCAGTCTGCCCTTGTTCCTGTATTCTTGTTCTATGGAGAACGATGACATCCTCAGAACCTATTAGATCAGTCTCTTAAGGAGACTTAAGCGATTCTGTCTCCTCTGGTACCCTCCACAGGAGTCTATATATATAAGGCTTGGGACAAAGTAATGACGATCTCAAGTTCACCAAGAAGTCTAGAAAACTTTTCTTGAATGTGTTTTAGTATCACGAAGCAGAGCTGGAGAGGGGCTGTGGAAAATGGAGGTCACTAACAGGTAAGAAGGCAGGAAAAAGTGTCTTTTGGAACTCATCTGATATTTTCCAGTTATTACTAACCTTGAATCGTCAGCTACCACTCAGAAGCAATTCACAAGGAGACCACTGCCCAGTCTCCTTGTTCCCCCCGTCGCTGAAAACGGAGGACGTACAAGGGTGGGGTCGGAGAAGTCCTCACCTGTGCATCAGAGGACACTGGGATCCACTTCACATTCATGTAGCCATGCAGCAGATGCAATTTGACCTCCAGGGACAGGATTACACTGTGAAGAGGAGAAAGGAAGAATTAAAAACATCCTGTGACCTTTAAAAAGCAAAGCATGTGATCCAGTTGGGAGGTAGAATGGGAGAGGGCTACATGGCTTGGGACTCAGACAAGGTGGGGTCTGAATTATAGCTCCACCAATTAGTACTAAGCTTTATGACCTTGAGGCAAGTCACTTCACCCTCCCTGGAACTCAGCTGGGGTTGATAATGGGCATAGATAATATCTACCCTGTAGGGTTGTTGTGAAGATTAAAATAGTACTGGAAAGGACCCAGCATAATGTCTGGAAAACAGGAAATACTTACTGAACAGTAGCCATTATTGTTGCTGGTGTAAATATTATTAAGAGGGAGCTTTTGATATTTAGGTGAGAACTTATTTTAAGAGCCATAAATTCTGAGTTTTTAAATGAAACCCTCTCAATTGGATCCCAGTGTCAGGAGCCCAAAGAAGGAAACACTGGGTAAGAGGTAAGGAAGGAGCTTTTACATTCATACCCTCTTCGTAGGAAGCTGTGGAGGGCACAGGCTGAGGACTAAACCTGCTTTGGGAGGTGTCAGGGAGGGGGGCTGGCAGAAAGAACATTTTTCTTGCTATTTAAATTCAGAAAGGCAACAATCCAAAGCAAACTAACTACTTCAGTCAATTATTTAAAAACCCCTCTCATGGAGTGCCTGGTTGGCTTAGTTGGTAAAGCGTGCAACTCTTGATCTTGGGGTTGTGAGTTTGAGCCCCATGTTGGGTGTAGAGGTTACTTAAAAAATGAAATCTTAAAAAAATTTTTTAAATAAATAAAATAAAACACCTTTCACTTGGACTGGGAGAAAAAGTGTGACTTGATTATCCTGATTTTCTGATCACTGTTTTGGAGATTCTGGGATGTGTCCCAGGAGAAGAACACTCCTCATCTCATAAGGAAAGAACAAGTTGTAATCCCAGGATTTCCCTCTCTTTCATGGGGAGAAAAAGCAGGTGCATGCTGTAAGAATCCTGGTGCCCAACCTATCCCCCACGTCTCCATCTTCCCCAAAACACTGGAGCTAGGATGTGACTGTCTTGCCTCTGAGCTGAGGAAGAGTCCCCGGGGAAATGGATGCTGTATGTGGAAGAGACACTTAGCAGGTGGGAAGGCTACGCTTGCCTCACCTGGCCAATCGGACGTTGTCATTGTCATCTTTGCCCCACTCCCAGCCCTTTCCAGGGTCCACAGCAAAGTGCAAGGGCAGCAGCTTATGCTCTGAATCTGTAAGTGGGATCACAGCTGGGGAGGAAGAAACATGTCATCAAGGAGTCTCCTTAAGGAGACAGGAAGGCAACTGAACACAAACTGACTTCACTAAAGAGGAGGCTGGATCATATCAAAGGTCTTGAACTGAGCTCACTCAGTTTTCACATGTGAATTACACTGGCATCAAAAACAGACAGACTGGTTTTCCCTTACTAGCCAATACAAATTTAGGCCACTAATCTCCATGACTCCCCCCCAGTCAGTCAACAAACACTCATGATGTTCTTGCCAGTTAATGTGGATTCAAAACATTCAAAGTCATTATTAAGACAAATACAGCAGGGGCGCCTGGGTGGCTCAGTTGCAGAGCATCACTTGGAAGGTTCTATGACCTTAATACACACACTCTACTCCAGAACAGGGAGCAGCAAATACAGGCAGGCTACTGTGTTTTTCCCCAAAGCTCTTTGTCAAAATGTATTTATTTTTAATTTAAACACCCTGGCGTATCTTTAGCTTAGTAAAACAGTATCAGTGTGCACTGTCTGGGCTTGCATGTCACTTAGTTCTTCCCTCCTATACTCTCTCCTATTTAAGTTTTTCCAAGTGAAAATAAAGTAGACCAAAAGACACCAAAGACACCAACATCGCATTCAGCACCTTGTTCCTTGGCATTCTCCTTCTGCTCCATGGACACAAGTGCAGAAAAGTGGGCTTGATCGTAGGCGAGCACCAGAGGGGAGCGGTGACACTGGCTGGCTGGGACCTCCAAGGGCAGATAGATTCCCCCAAAGGGAATAGGGGCGAACGCTGCAGCAACCACAAAGACTGTTATTCAGGATGTTTTCTTGCCTAGAGGGCAATCCCCACACCCCACTCTTCCAAGGGAGTTCCCCCTTTTACTCACTCTAACCCCTAGTTAATCATTCTATCTATCTATTTATTTATTTATTTTAAAGATTTTATTTATTTATTTGACAGAGAGAGACACAGCAAGAGAGGGAACACAGGCAGGGGGAGTGGGACAGGGAGAAGCAGGCTTTCTTAAGAAGCCTCATCAATTAACCCCAACTGCTTTGCTCTTGATCTCTTGAGAATTTTGCATTGTCCTAATGTATACCTTGTTTCTCCCCTTCCTTCCCTCCATATAGCCCCTTCCTTCCCTCCTCCCAGTGCTTAGCCCAAGGTTCTGCAAATAGAAGGTGCTCAGGACAGCGAGGACTGACTCACCTTCCCCACCAGAGTCCCTCAGCATGGTGTCGGCCACGACGACTATGGGCCTCCTAAGCACATGCGCAAGGACAAAAACGTGGAATTCTTCTAGGCTCTCATATACAGGCTCCTCTGAACTCTCCACCCTAGAGGTGCAGGAGGGGAGAGAGTGGAAGGGGTGCCGCGAAGGGGAGAGGGAAGAAACCCAAACAAGACACCCCTGAAGACCAGTTCCGCAAAGAGGAAAAAGAGGAATGCCCTTTCCTGGTTTTCTTTCTTTCTTTTTTTAAGATTTTATTTATTTATTTGACAGAGAGAGACACAGTGAGAGAGGGAACACAAGCAGGGGGAGTGGGAGAGGGAGAAGCAGGCT